ATATGTTCCTTAATGGAGCCCTGTTGCTTATGCATTGTTAATCGCCTGGAAAGAGATGTTGTCTTGCCTATATACTGAGTTCTTTGGGGCTTACAGTCCCTAAGTGGGCATTTGAAGGCATAGACGATGTTGGTCTCTTTTAAGGCGTTCTGATATGTGTTTGGAGAGTTTTTCATGAGTAGGTTGGCCGTTTTCTTGGTTTTATAGTAAATCGTCAATTGTATCTTCTGATTTTTGTCTGTAGGGATAACGTTCCTATTAACAATATCTTTCAGGACCCTTTTCCCCGTTTTATGAGCTGTCGAAAAGAAGTTCCTGTAAAATAATCTAATAGGGGGTACAGGTGTTGTGTTAGTTGACTCTTCAGAGGTTGCATGGCATTTCACCTTTCTTTTTATGATGTCTTCAACGAAACCATTGGAGAAGCCGTTGTTGACTAGGACCTGCCTTACCCTACGGAGTTCTTCATCGACTTGCTTCCATCCTGAGCTGTGGCTGAGAGCACGGTCGACATAAGTGTTGACAACACTCCTCTTGTACTTGTCTGGGCAGTCACTGTTGGCATTGAGGCACATTCCAATGTTTGTTTCCTTAGAGGAGTACAAGCCGGATCACGATATACTCTGTCCGCTATCATCCCGATTGTTTCATCCACAGGTACGTTGGTAAACGATGATTCTACGTCCCACGAGGCTCTTATCCCTGTGGCCTGTGTTCCCTGCAGTAAGTCAACAAATTCCTTTGGAGACTTCAGGCTGAAAGCACAAGGTACATAAGGAGTCAGCAAGCCGTTGAGTTGCTTTGCTAGTGTGTACATGGGTGTGCGTATCTGACTAATGATTGGCCGAAGTGGGTTTCCAGGCTTGTGTGTCTTGACATTTCCATACGCATACCCAGGTTTGTATTCCCCAATAATCTTTGGCAGGTGGAGACCGGATTTCTTGGCGTTCACAGTTTCGATCAATCTCTTTACCTTTGTTTTCAATTCGGCTGTAGTGTCCTTCGTTACCCTTTGGAATTTAGTTTGGTCTGAGAGTATGAGGTTCATTTTCGCCAGATATTCGTCTTTTTTAAGAATGACGTATATTGGCGACTTGTCACCTCTACTGACGACTCTCTCCTTGTTCTTACGAAGGCTCTTAGCTGCCACTTTGAGCTCGGGGGACAGTATGGTGCTTCTGAAGTTGCCTCGAATCTTTCCTCCTTCTGCAATAAGATCTGCTTGCAAGGTGTCTTTTGTGGTGACCTTCTTTTGTGTCTCGAGGTTGAATATGTCGTCCAGCAGGATTTGGGTGAGGTGATTGACATTTACATAAGCCAGAACACGAACCAATGGGTATAAAAACATAAGAATGGAAGTAACTGCAGAATACCTATTGGCCCATAGCATCACCACTTCCTCTTGATGCTTCTATATTGGTTCGGAGTCATGAAGTGGGTAGAATATAGTTGTGGATTAATTGGCTGTTGATTGTTGATTGATTGACTTTTTGATATGCAATGCCTCGCAGATGTCGAGCCTTCTGCTATCGCTGTATCTATCGATGATTTGTGTTGTTTGTTAAGATTTCTCTGGTGATGGTCTGGTTGTGAGAAGAGATTATATATTTCTTGATGGAGCCCTGTTGTTTATGCATCGTTAATCGCCTGGAAAGAGACGTTGTTGTCTTGCCTATATACTGAGTTTTTTTGGGCTGACAGTCCTCAAGTGGGCATGTGAAGGCATAGACGACGTTGGCTTCTTTCAAGGCGTTCTGTTTGGTGTTTGGAGAGTTCTTCATGAGTAGGATCCCACCGTCGCACATTTTGGGTCTTCTCCCATTGTCTGCACAAGGTCATGTGACTTTTAAAACACCGCCGAGGCACATGACAACAGCACACTACAGGTACTTTCTCGTTTGTCCTAAAAAAATACATTAAGATGCAGATACAGCTTAATAAACCTTATTACACATTTGTATACATTGTATCACATATAAAATATTCTCTGGTAGCCCTTCATGCTGAGTGTGGCTGAGAATGAGTCTCAGAGAAAGCTGAGTAACGTTATGATAAACTGTGGTACTGTAACGGAAAATAGACAAAACAGCAATGCTTTCCGCTCACCTGTACCATCGAGGACCCGACCCCGGTCCTACAAGAAGTGAGGCCGTCGCTCCATACCGACCAGTCCCTGTAGATGGACTTGCAAAGATTATAGAAAAAGACTTATTCATTCCTAAATTAAACAAAAATATAATCCTTCGCTATTATGCATTAGTTCCTTTCACATTTCATTAAGTGAGTAACAGGAGATCAGGGCGCGAGTCCACAGTGTGTTCAGCTTTGAAGCTCACTTTTACATATCAGATAATTAATGGTAAAAATAAATGAATGCCCCACTCAAACACAAAATGCTGAATGATGTTTATTGTTGACACAGTATATAAAGCGGAGCTTATAGTTTACAAAATGAACAACGTTATACTACATGCCCTTTAAGGCACAAACACTAATTATTTTCTGACGTCACATCTAAACCCGATATCAAAAAGGTCTTGTCATCATTCTGATAGCTTCTCTTGGCTGTTATGTAATATTTAACCCTTCCATGAATGCCAGACGACTAGTTTAATCAAGGATGAATGAAAGTTAAAGGGAAGGACATTAAAGTCTGAAAACAGAAGCACTATACAATTCTGGGTAAGATCAGATGTGATTATAGACGATGTAATTTACGTTAAGGTTAAGTATTCAAACTATCACTAATTCACTCATCGCCACTGTTTCCCTCCGTATAATCATTACTATAAAGGAGAAGAAAATGAAGAGAACACTTCACAATAACATAGATGAAACGATAACACAACCAACGGTTCCATTCGTCCAGGACACCAATCAAGTATGGACACAAAGCATGTTATGTGTTAAGATGACAATACTGAACAGGTGGTGTTCAGTATTTTTTTATATTACTTTATTATGAGTCATTGTGATTGTTCTTATATTTGCAAGATTTCATATGCCACTAATTATGTCTTAGTTATATGTTTTAGGCGGTGTTTGTGTGTGTGTGTGTGTGTGTGTGTGTGTGTGTGTGTGTGTGTGTGTGTGTGTGTGTGTGTGTGTGTGTGTGTGTGTGTGTGTGTGTGTGTGAGTGTGTGTGTGTGTGTGTGTGTGTGTTGTGTGTGTGTGTGTTTGTGTGTGTGTGTGTGTGTGTGTGTGTGTGTGTGTGTGTGTGTGTGTGTGTGTGTGTGTGTGTGTGTGTGTGTGTGTATGTGTATGTGTGTGTGTGTGTAATTACCTAAGTGTAATTACCTAAGTGTAGTTACAGGATGAGAGCTACGCTCGTGGTGTCCCGTCTTCCCACCACTCTTTGTCATATAACGCTTTGAAACTACTGATGGTCTTGGCCTCCACCACCTTCTTACCTAACTTGTTCCAACCGTCTACCACTCTGTTTGCGAAAGTGAATTTTCTAATATTTCTTCGGCATCTGTGTTTAGCTAGCTTAAATCTATGACCTCTTGTTCTTGAAGTTCCAGGTCTCAGGAAATCTTCCCTATTGATTTTATCAGTTCCTGTTACTATTTTGTACGTAGTGATCATATCACCTCTTTTTCTTGTCTTCTAGTTTTGGCGCTCCAAATTCCCCACGTCTTCGTGTTAAAAATTTGTTGGGAGAAGCACAAACAAAAAATGAGATACTGTACGACGAAATATAAACAAAAGGGGGGGTGCGGGGGATTTTCTGATGAAAAAGATTGGATTTAACCATATTTCTGGACTCTCCGTCAGGAAACATGACGTAACATAATCGTGATTGGGCGGGGTTTGCCGCTATAAAGTCCAAGGACGGTAGTGGGGACGGCACGAGTCCGTCAAGAGTGCTCGCCGGACCTGCAGATGAGCTGTGCCGTGAGCACTTCGTCGTGTGCCCACAGGACTGGCACCCAAGTCCCGCCGAACCTTTGCCTTGTGTAGGTCGCATCGGTCATTCAACATAGGTGAACCAAACTTTGAATAACTATTATTTGGGCCTTATTAGATGTGAACTGAGCCTGTTCAATGGCGAGATCGAGCATTATCGTAATTAAATCTAGACAATAAATGTGAAAATACCTTTAAGATAGGTTACCGTGCGATGATTGGAGAACATGATGATTGCGATGATTAGGTGAACAGAGGCACTGTGTAATCATCACGTATGTCAGTCTAGTTCTGATTTAAGTCAAAAGATCACATTTATTGACTAATGTAAATATTTTATACCTTTTTTTTGAGATATATACAAGAGTTGTTACATTCTTGTACAGCCACTAGTACGCGTAGCGTTTCGGACAGGTCCCTGGAATACGATCCCCGCTGCGAAGAATCGTTTTTACAACCAAGTACACATTTTACTGTTGAGTTAAACAGAGGCTACAGTTAAGGATTTGCGCCCAGTAAATCCTCCCCGGCCAGGATACGAACCCATGACAAAGCGCCAGGCGAGTGTCTTACCACTACACCACGGAGACTATTGTTATGTCATTGGTCACTTCGGTATGAACATGCTCGTTCCACGCCTCTCGAGGGATTTCGGCCAGGTTCGAGCCCAGGGCAGGAAAAATCGACAGGGGTCCGGCAATGTTTACTCAGCAGTAATTTGGGATATGGTTATAAACCGATTGGCGAGTCGTGTTCTATGGCAGGGTAGCAGCGTATGGCTTAAGGTGAGCTACGGGAAGGGTGGGCTCTAGGCTGACTTTACTCACTGATTCGAAAACCCCTCGATCGATCGAACGCACACTGACATGAACACCCATTGACCGAACGCCCACAACCCATTAACCGAACGCCCACCAACACAAACACTCATTAACCGAACGACCACCGACACAAACACCTATTAACCGAACGACCACCGACACAAACACCTATTAACCGAACGCCCACCGACACAAACACCCATTAACCGAACGCCCACCGACTCGAACAAACATCGGAAGTTGCATCCTAAGATTACCTTTTCATTGCAGAATGCTACGAGTGAAGACCAGCAATGGCGGGACTGACTGGCCAAACCACTCCCCCAGTGTTGCTACTGGCAACACTGGGCCTCATCCTACCTTGTACACTGCAACACCGGTTCAGGTGAGGGCGCCGGCTCCAGCTGGCTATACTGAAAGGAATTCTGATGTGCATTCTGCTACATTTTGAATTTATAATTTTGACTTTGTTTATCAACACGGTGCGTTATTAAATCTGAATTTTTTATGATAATTCAACAATTATATAAATATTGACACATCAAATAATTTATTATAAACTGTAGCTCTAAGTACTTAACTGTTATGATTATTTCAAAATTTTCCTTAAAATAAGCAGGTAATAGATAATCTATTATTTATAGCTCCCCCTCTCCTCATTCATTGCTCCCTCTCCCCTCATTCATAACTCCCTTTACTCCCCCTTCCCTCATTCATAGCGCCAACTTCCCTCATTCAAAAAGACGATCCATCAGTGGCTCCCTCATCACTAGCGGATGTAACTTGAAACTGTGAAGTAATGGTACCACCAGGAGCCACGACTCAGGTCGCTCTCGTCTGCGAGCCGAGTTAGTGATCCTGTCAGCCATTACTCCCTACGGTGCTGCTGTAGATAAAATATTTCAATAAAGAGTAAGAGGCTGTGCATCTCCCGAAGCTCCTCTAGATCGCTACATGCAGGCGGTGGAGTAGCATACTTTATACATATAAAATACTTTTGCTAGTTTTTTTCCTTAATATGTACGAATAGTGGAAATGTATATTTTTTCCTGTAAGCTATTGTGCAGGTGAACAAGGATTTAACTTTATGCCGAGTTAGTTTTATATATAAAATTGCATTTTGGTTGCCATGTTAACTGGTCATTACAGCTGCATTTCCTGTGATGTCTGGTATTGTGAACAAATTGTTCATGTTTTAACGCAAAAATGTTCAGGATAACACTGGGCATGGGAATAATGTAACACGACGAACTATACCGGGAGCATACCTGCAGAGGGTTTCAGGAGTTCTTCTAGTCCCTGAGCAATGCTTTGGGGCCAGACTTGACTATATTATGACTTCTGGTCAAAATATTTTGACACTGCCATGACAGGTGACCTGTCCCTTTGTGTGTATTTTACCTCAATAAACTTATTTCAATTTCAATTTCAATTCAATGTAATAAGACATGTCCCCCGTCATCGGGGACCTATCACCTGTTTGCCAAATCGAGGTTCCTCTACCTAACGACAAGCCTTAACCCAGGAGGCAACCCACAACAGTTGCCTAACTCCTAGATATATTTTAACTACTTGGTGAATAGTTGGATCATGTGTAAAGAAGTGTGCCTAGGTATTTCGCCCTACACGTGAATCGAACCCGAAACCAATCGGTTGTGATCCGATTTGGGGAGTCAAAGACTAAGATGGGGGGTGGTCTTGACAAGACATAGCATTGACATGATAACATTTATTCTAGTCTTTATGGCTGGTGTTGGAGACCGTTCAATATTTATACAAATTTGATTAAGACTCAATTAACAAATTACTGATGCTGCAGCTTTACGCGTAGGGCTATAAAAAGATGCCTTATCGTGCAAGATGGTGACAGATACACTTACGAAGCAAAGTGACAAAGGATACCTGCTCGTTCAGGACGATAAAATATATCTTATCGAGCAGGATGACAAATGATACCTTATCGCT